CCACACCACGCATCCTTTCCCCTGTTCAACTCATCCCCCTGGCTGCACGCATTTTAAGCGTACGCACATACAAACACTCAAGAAGAAGAATAATGAGCAGGAGGAAGTAGATTGTCTTTCCTGACTGTCAATTGCATCCTTTTACTCCCACCTGACCGTGCGGCTTCTTGGTTTCCGATCGCCAAAACTCGCCAACAGTCTTCTCCCTCTCAGTATTTTGTACATGCCATCTGGCCTTAGTTTTGTTGGGCTAAGTGATATTCAACACCCCTCGCCCTCCCCCTCACACTCAACGACGAAACATTACCCGTGATCTCGCGTCTGTTTGTGCGAGTTTTGGATTAAAGTGTGGACGCAGGTGATCTGCGAAAAAACCTCTTTCCGCCTTTTTACCTCCCTTTTTTTCATCTCATTTCATGCTGCTTCGTTTTGAAGAGGGTGTTTTTAGATGCGTGACTTTTTGTTTTAAGACTATTAACAGCACCTTTGTCAAACCTTTGTGCACAACTTTCAAACCCTTTCAAATAAATTCATATGACAGTGTGCTCAGAAGATTTTCCCACTGTGTGATGTAGCTCTGTGCTTCCGTATGATTGAAGACTGGAAGACTAGGCTGTGGGCGATGTGAAAATGATAATTATCTCTGTGCGCAAAGACCCCACGCAGGCAAGAAAGAATAATTGAAACATCGTTTTTCCGGAAGAAATTTAAGAACGGCAAAGATCACGAGACTAACAGAATTTATTGACGTCATACAATTTCGCGACCTCTTATTCACGCCTCTTATTATTAACTCTTCTGGATGAATGCTTAATTGGACAGTTTATTTAACTTATGTATAGGTAATGACCGTTTGCAATTAAATAAGAGGTCTCGAAAGTATATGAATCAATACATTCTGCTAGTCTCGCGATATTTGCCCGGTTCAAACAAAGGATAAGCCAGCATGTATTTCACACCGACCTACCCCTAGCTCTGTGCATTAGACCTTCCAAGAAAACATTCAGTACTCTATTCAAGGTTCAATAGAAAAACTGGGTCGCTATTGATAGTTTTTATTGGACTGAGTTATTTAGTTGACCCAATTGGGGGAAAACTCGCGGTGTCGGCGGGAGTCGATTCCGCACATCAGGGAAGGCCTTTACGCAGCCAGTTGGGTCAACTAAATTAAGCAAATCTGCAAACCCCCTAAATAATTAAGTCAGCCGAGTATTCATTCTGGTGGATTCTAGTTTGATTGCTTAGGAAATCCTGCTTGGGCAGTCGGCTTGCTGTTCCATATTTGTGGATTCCATACGAGTGGTAAAGTTGGGAGGATGAAATCGATCCAAGTGTGATTAAATTTACGGCGCAGGGGTGGCGTCGTAGCTCAAATCGGTAGAAGGTTGGCTGCGTAAAGGCCTTCCCTGTTGTGTGGGTTCGACTCCCGCCGACGCCGCGAGTTTTTTCACAATTTGATCAACTAATTTAAGAAAATCTGCCAAACCTCCTAAACATCTGAGTATTTTGTCAGTGACTGATAAACTAAGAAGTAACTCAGCCTTTACTTTGAGGATCGATCGTTTAATCATAGGGCCAATGAAATGGTGAGGTGTTAATAAACTATTAATGATTCCCTTGATAAATATATGATCCTAACTTACAGTGAATGACGTTGTCAAATTTTAAATAACTACGTTGATGTTAATGTTGAAATAATCGTAGCTATCAAATCAATACAAATGGGTTACTAAGCTCTACTAAGCCATTTCACATAGCATTTGGACCCCAGAATTTCATTTTAAGTATATTCTCTCATTCTTTTTTTGTCTTTGTGGTGAGCAAGTGGCCTACTAGCCCTTCGGTATTAGTGTAGCTTCTACTGTGGCATTTTTGTGTTGCGTTAACCAATTTCCTTTTATCAACCAATCCATTTGGGAAGCAAGATTGTTACTTAAGCAAAAAAGTGAAAGCATGGCAACAGCAAGTTTCCATTGACAACAGCTTTAAGCGCAAGCGGATACAATCAAACTATCACGACGTGCTTAGCAGCTTTACAGGCTACGATCCCCAACAAATAATTCAAATGCGCTCTCAAATGGAGATTCAATTGAAGGAACACGATTGTTTGAAAACCACTTAAAAGAACTTCCAGTTTCTGATCAAGGATTGGGTGGTTTTCATAAAGAACGAGTTATTTCCTAATTTATTTATCCAATTAGACGGGACCAAGAGATTTCATGATAACTTTCTAACTTCCATTTTAAATAGTGAATTAAGAAGGATATCAATTAATACCTGGATTAATTATAGATGAGCAGATGCTTAGTATCTGACAGGAAAACCTATTCTGTTCGTTAGGATTACCATTCCTTGCCAGGTTAGTAGGGTCACGCAATAGTTTGATGGTCGTAGGAGGACCAATTTATTGGGTTAACTGGCAACTTTCCGAAGCACCGACCATTAGGACGCAAAAGCAGTTTCAAAACGCACCACTATTACTGTGGTAATGGAAGATGCACAGAGCCGTCCCTGTTCTGGCTCCTATCGAGAGTTCGTAAAGATATTGGGGTTAGGTCAACTAGGAATGGCAACGCGTATCGTAGTTGCCGTGACCCAAGGCCACCGGCTCTCGCAAGCGGCAGACGTGTCGGGCCAAACAAATTATTTTGCGGTCCTACGAACCCGGCAATCAGTACTTATCCCGAAGAATACAATGGATAGCATAGGCAGATATTATTGCCATTGTTAGCCGTCGTCAGCCAGTCATACCTTTTAGGAGTGTAGCCTGACCAAAGGCTAGCAATCTTGCAGGCTATCCTAAGGCGTCGTGCCTGCGCCGACTGTCACAATGATTCCTTTGTCAATGAGGACTGCCTTCAAGGTCATATGTCTTTGCGATGGTTGTGCCCCCTCAATGACTGCACACACGCAATGACCTTAAACCGGACACGCACGCAAGCGCGTCCAGGTGCGTGCCCAAGCAGTCACAGTTCCTGAAGGGACACTTAGGTTCGTTACTGCAAGTGACCTTATCCGAATGCGCTCACTGATGCCACAAGCGAACGCCCTTGACAATCACTTATAAGCTGCTGTCACCTCTCAGACAGTGATTTGCAAACGGACTGCGAGGACACCGTCAGTCCTGTCTCGTTGCCGGGCGAGCCCCGAAGCGCGCTGAAGATCAGGCAGCGCCATCTACCACTCGAGAAAGCAACTCCGGGTTTTGTACACAATAAACCCTCCTCCGGATGGATTTCAAAGTTACGCCCTTCTTATTGTGTTTTTCCTTGGGGATTCCAAAGGGCGTAGTTAGACGGTGACGCCACTGAAGTCACCGTTATAACAATACCCAGACCCAAGTGAACGTTCATCAACAAGTGTCAGTACCCCTTGACCTAAACCGACTAGACAACGAGCTCGTGGCTCAATGGTTAGGGTATTTGACTCTGACCAAAAAGGTCGCAAGTCTGAGGCACAAGTGGGACGCCATTTGGGTCTGAGTTTGACTGGCTGATGACGGCTAATAAGCCAGAAACGGCCATTCCAATATTCCTTGTCTTTGCCGGCAATACTATCTGCCTATAAAACCAGCTGTTCTGGGTAGACCCAAATCAGAGCGGAACAGAGGAGTCTCGTTAGCAGTCCGGTAAACGTTGACCAAAGAGGGGCAATAGATAGGGTTAGAATAAGTTTGGCACTCACCTTTCCTTTATTTAGCCCCACCCATAAAACCCCCTTTTTCACCGGTCCCGTATGACATCCTGAACTACCCTTTTTGCATAATGCGTTCTTGCCGACGTCTCAAGTAAGGTAACGAGGAGCCGGAGGAGGCAATGCGAGTCCCTCCGTGAAGTGATGCTAAAATTGAGTAAAGAGATTAAAATACTGAGTTCTCTTGTCAATTGGCCATGCTCAAATGACCCAGAACACGAGATCTCGAAACCAGCAACGACGTGTAGGCGCATGATCGAGCACTTGGCTTGCCCTGTTAGCCAACAAGAATTATCGAATCCAGCCATTAAAAGGGCACACGCTCTGGGCGTCGCTGTCGTTTTTTGCATACCCTTTTGCCTCGTGGCATTTGTGCGTATTTTGCATCGTAAATGTTAATGCGAGCACGCCGGGTCTGGCTGAGCGAAAAAGACTACCGGCAAGGTGCCTCAAAATAAAGAGGCCAGCAAAAAGGTGCTTTTGCATGCACGGGGCTGGAGAAGAGACAAAGATGATGGTCTGTGGGTTGCAAAATAATACGAATTCAAACGAATGGATTTATCAACATGCTGACGTCTCGAAGAGCTTGATCGGCTTATCGTAGTGACGTAATTAATGGAAAAACTTTTGTCGCTACTATTTTCAGGCCCGGTTTCGTGTGTGGGGGGAGAAGGAATGTGACGCCGGATAGAAGGAATAGTGTATTCTGTACACAGCTAGTGGGGGGTATATTGGAGGAAGTTTACAGTCGGACGAGTGTAAGACTACCTGCTAGAGAGCCGGTCTCCGAAGTGTGAGAGCGTGGGAGTCATCACAGCATCTACAGGGCGGTCATGCGCGAGTCAGCCGCCGGGAGATGATTGGCAAGACTGACTAGAGGAAGATAGGCGCAAGTGCGTGTGCACTTGCTGGCAGCTCTGAGGGGTTGAGCGGGTTAAAGCCTATACAGCGTCACCATTGTGAAAGTCCTAAATGCACCTAATCGAACAGAAGTGGAACTGGCGTACCGTGACCTATGTGTCGGCCTCCAGCTGATCCATTTTTTTGGAGGGCAGGATGTCTTGGGGGATCTTGACGTTCATTTTCTCCGTCGAGTGAACCAGGTTGCGTCTGTGCAGCTTTCTGACTCCGTGCGACCGTGGTGTCTTGAGTTTTGTGTACGTGACGACGCAAAGCTTTGCCTGCTACAGGAAAATCAATATACATATCGACGGAGTTGACATCTAAATACTACGTCTCAAGTGTTAGTCTTTCCGCCTTTGAATTGCCCCAGCGTAAGATAATAGCTCCCTTATGCTTTCGAGTATGGCCAGTTTCTCCTAAGTGCGTTGCAAGCTGGGAGTCTACACTCCGAGTTGCTCCTATAGGCGCGTCTGCAAATCACTCCCAGTTTCGCCAACAACGTTGCAATCCCCATAACTACAAATGATTTTGCAGGCAACTACTGCAGTTTCAGTCAGTGTTAGCATGTTCCTCGGTTGTAGCAAAAGATGACGAATTGTCGCCGTGGTTTTTTGAAATATGTCTACGTTGGCGGATTATTGTATTGTCCTAGCGATCGAGTCATCTTCTTCTCAGAAGTTGTAAAGTTGCCTCAGAAGTAGTTCTTTCTAGGGTTGGGAGTCCAACTTAATGACACACCTGAATGAAAAAAAAATATTACCATAACCCGCAGTCTGAACAAGACAAGGAAACAGGACCCTCTCCTCCTTCTCTTCCTCCTCCTCCTCCTCCTCTTCCTCCTCCTCCTCCTCCTCCTCCTCCAGAACCTTGTACTGGTATCCGGGGAGATCTAGTTAGGAGGTAAAATAGAGTGTTAGTCTAAGTTAAGGGTAAATGCATAACTTTATAATATTTCTCCTTACCAGAATTTCATGCAAAGTTGTCGGTTTTGCCGGGATGGGTTTTCCCATCCACGTGTTTTAACACATGGGCGATGTAAGGTCGGTATGTGTTATTGACCTAAAGGATGAACTATTTTCATTTTGGCATAGCATAAGGGGCTGCTGCCTGACTCCACCTAATTAGAAAATATCCCAGGTTTCGGGAGCACTGTAACGAGCTCCTGTCCTAATTATCCTTCTAACCTCTGTCATTTTGGCGTTTGGCCAGGTTTTCTGTTTGACGAACTGTAAGTGAAAGGAATTGCGAGGAGGCAATTTGGTCCAATTTGGATATAGGTGTCTGGTGGAATGATAGAGACACATTTAAATACTACTTAAGTAAATCGAAACCAAATATGCATTAGGACTGTTTGCGGAAGTAAAGTCCCGTCAGCATCATTTAGAACACGTGATCAGGCAGAGTATGGGAAATATGAAAGAGGCCGTTGAAAACCACTTTCTACCAGGAAGCTTCGAACTGCCGAACTTCGTATTCATGCCGTATACACGATTTCCTTCCTCTCCTAACTATAGCCTCTCGTACTATCGAATGAATAGATTTTCTTGGTGTCGACACGTAAAACGGAACTATTTATAACTCGGTTGTGGGACGAATCGGTTTAAGGTCGAAGATTGGCATTCTTATCAGTGACTTGTCGTTCATTTAACAGAGTTCATTATGCCGACTACTAGGCCAAATTGTAAGGTCCAATCTGGAAGTTAGGAAACATATACAGTCAGAAGCCATTTTTCTTTTCTGACTAGCTGTGATCTGTCAAAAGTCCCAGTAATCAGATTTCATTGTGCTTAAACCAGGGGACTGCTTTTAGTCTTTGGTGTGCTTGATTGGGAGTTGTACATCTAGCCAACAGTTTGCGTATTATAGCCTGGGATTTTGCAACAGCTTGGGCTGGATATGGCTGACTAATGATGGCCATTAAATCAGAAGCTACCATTCCAGTCTCCCTTGTTTTTGTCGGTTGTGGTCTTCTGCTCGTGCTCATGACGCGCACGTAGGTTTAGTGACGCGTAAAAATTCAATTGTTTGCAACCTTTAATTTTTCTCCTAGTATCCGAGAGTCACCGAACACCCGGATTGCAAACGTTCAGGATTTAAGCTGAACTTGGTTAGTTTAGAAATACGCGAGAGTTCAAAGTCCGCTATAGTTAGCAGGCTATCTTGGCCGTCAATCCTGCGTTTGAAGGACGTCTGAGGGAACGGATGGCGACATGTACATGTCGCAAAGCCCTAGGGTCCATATACATATTTTGCCTATTTTTTTAAGTTGCCAAGACGACTGAAACGAATTAGTCAGCACCACTTCGTCAGTTGATTTTCTTACGCAGTAATACGACTTGGATTCTTGAACCTGCAGTTGACAAGCAGGTAACTGAAAAGCAACTGAATGGTTCAGGGCTCAGATTTTGATCAGAAAACTCTTTACTTACAGAAAACCGGCGAATCATGCGTGTAGCTGCCTACCTAGTACATTGCTTAAGATTGCAATTGCTAAATTATACTGCTCTGTGCGTATTTTTTCTCAATCACTCCACATCCAGAGGAGAAGGGGGCTCCGTACGTATGCCTACGACTTTGCCTTGCCTTTCGATTAGACAAAAAAGACTTGGTACCCACTCTGGAGCAGTATTCGCCTAGGTAACTCGTTGGTTTACGCCGCTCGACTGGCATATTGAAACGCAACTTGAAAAGTGGTCGGAGGAGGAGAAAACTTCGACAAATTCCAGCAGCACTTAATTTCTTTGATACATCCGCTATTCTACGTGTTTTAGTGACTGAATAGAATGCCTTACGTTCGTATCGTTTCATTATCTGAACAAAAGTCTTGGCCTGAGGTTTAGCACTGAAAGCGCTAACGTCTTTCGCTAATCCCTTGCTGGGATTGCCCTGAGGGTCTGATTCAGAGTTATTTATCTTCTTCAAAAATCTCCCGCAGTTTATAAGTATCTAAAACATTACTTTAGCGGCACTCTTGGCGAATGTGAGAGGTGAATAGTATTGACAAGAGAGTGGACGGTTGCATCAATCAAAGTTGTATTATCGGCTCGCCTCTCAGAATTCAAGGAACGAAAGTTGAGAAAGCGGCCCTTATTAGCCTAAATTGTCCGAATGTTCGGAAGAGAGTCCCGGCAGCCGTGAGCGAGCCGGGTGAAAAAAAAATGATACTGGCAACCCAGTCAGCAAGGCCGCCGTAGAGAAGTCCCCCAAGGAGACGCGTATTTAGTGACACCTGGGGGGGGGGTCGATTCGTCTGAAGACTGGACAGGGGTTCGCGCACCTCCATGGGGATGCGCTACCATAAATGGACATGTAAGTTCGGCAATTGTTTTATATTTCTTACTAGGCAAAGGACGACCGGGCAGGAATATATAGCGGTTTTGTATGTTTGACAGTGCACGTGTACGGCTTCGCCCTCCTCAAGTAGTTTGGCCTCTTAAGCGGCCGGCGTGATAGAGGCGCTGGACCAACAAGGGGGACCAGATCAGGGTATGGCAGACGTTAGTTGAGTTGCGCTCCCATACCAGATGTTGAACATGGGCAGGAGGCGTGGTGGCACTCCTACGTGCAGGCTCACGCCACGTGGGCCACCTGCGCCCGATACTGCCTCCGGTTTTTTGACACAGGGTACAGGTGGTTAAAGGAAGACAGAATGCGATAGATGTCGGACAACTTTATTAGCACTTGAAAAATTCCACACAAAATTCACCGTCTCTTTACGACCATCGTGCAGAGCACAGGATGGCCCTCGTCGGACTCGAAAATCAATCTCCTCAAATGACAATCCAAGCACCGATAGGCATCTGCATAATCATTGGTTTCTTCCTGCACTCCTGGATCTTGTTTGTGCAACTCACCTTATGCAATCCAGAGGGTTTTTGAGAAACCATTTGACTAAAATAGACATAGCAGCCGTTTACGTTTCATCATTGTCTCAAGTTTCATTCCTGATTGGCATTCATCGGCAAAACACCAGAAGGCTTGAAGGATGATGTTCCGATAAGAGAACCGTCTGTTCAAAGTACCGACTCGGATAGTGAGTAGCTGCATTAAGCAGATTAACTTGGCAGCACTGTATGCAATCTGTTGATTTCCTCCAACATTCGACAGGGAAAATATATTCACTCTGTTTATCGGTGGTTCGATCTGCCGGATATCAGCATGTGAGGCAAGAAGAGGGAGAAGCACGAGACAAAAGCCAACATAAGAAAAAAAACTGAAGACAGCTTGCGGTTAGCAATGGACCTCTGGCTGTATGCTAACACGAATCTTGACGTATACATATTTGCGACACCACGTGGTCTTCTAGACAACAGCACACCTCCGGAAATAGCCATAACTGCAATCCATTTGCGTGTGGATAGGTTGCCACTTAAACCGCCAGAGAGGTGGTTTCTACGTCCCAACAAGTCGTTAGTGTATCCCGTGTCATGCAATCGTACTTGTTTTCCATTCTGAGGTCCGAGATACCTTCAAGCACGCGTACTATTACGTGACCTCTGTCGCCCTAGTCCTATACACTAGCATTTATAAAAGTACAATGAAAGATATTTGGTTCTTTCATGCTTTTACGGCGAATCGCCGAACCATGAGTTTCATAAGTAAGATTTTATCTGTATACATTTCAGTTTAGGTAGAGGTGCTAAATGGGTTATTGGAGGCTTACCGCCCTCAGAAGACTGTGAAGCGACTCTCTTCTTCCTTGTCCTCATCCCTTTTGCTGCGCGAGGCCTTCAGATTTGCGATACTGAACAAAACAGAGTGAGGGGGAACATAAGCGTAGGTAGCATTCCATATTCGGAGTGCTGCTCAGTCTTGATTGTATTACTAATGCAGTCTCTGGACTCTAACCCACCCTAAGAAAAGTAGGGAAAGTGAAATCCTCAAGGCTGTTAGTACTTTCTTTTTATCAATATATTAAGACGGTAGATATTCATAGAGCCTCCTCCGGCATCAACTCTCGCGAAAGCATTGGTCTCAAACTGCGGTTCACCGTCAGGTCAGAAAGTAATGTAAAACGTTTTTTTGGATAAAGATTTCGGTAACAGTCTATTGTAGGAGTCACCATAGAAACCACAAAACCCAGAATTCTGTAATATGGGACCAATTGTACTGGAGAATATGTAGCTGAGGCGTCACGCGGGTGCAGGAGAAAAAGAAAAATAAATAAGGGAAACCAAATAGGAAATAGAAGACACAATTATTATAAAAAAGGTAATATGCAGCAACAAAAGCACGCAATAAATGAAAAATAAATTTTATTAATTTAAATAGATAAGGGAATAAATTATGAATTAAAAAATTAATTAATTACCATTACTACCGGTTCCGCCTTATGTAATTATCAGGTTTTTTTCCCGTGGTGGCACTTATAATAGACTGTTATCAAGATTTCCAGTGAGCGGCCTTTAAACTTGGCAGGGGATGGAGTGCGATCATGAGTAAGATGGGAAAAGAGGAGGTAGTGGGAAATACTCTGGACCAGTGGTTCAGGGCTAACTGGAATGCCGAAATTTCCGCTTGCAATCAAGTTGGATCAGTAATCGCTACTACCATTGGTTGAGTTTAGTTTTAGAGGAGCTACGGTTTCTGTTTTCACTCGAATCGGTGGCTTCGTCTTCCATAGTCAAGATCCCTGGCACCTAGCGGGCTTTGGTATTAGCCTTCGTTAACGGAGTAACGCTATGTTTTGCACAGCTGCGAATCCTCGGACCCTTAGAAGTCGCCGCGTAGATATATACAGTCAGCAATCGAGGGGTATTGTGTAGAAGATAAACCGGAAGGCGAATGAGTAATTTTTTGTTGATTAACTATCGGTAATCAGCCAGCGATGATTTCCAGACGAGGAAAACGTGCGATCTGTGCACGAGTGCAACCTCTTCTGCGCTTGATGCTTATGCGTTTTGAGTAATCCCCGACATAGCCTCTACTTCAGTTACCTGGCTTCATCTACTATGGTCTTGCTCTCTAGCGCTTCGTAATCTTTCGAATACGTTTGAACTGGGTTTTCACATTGATGATACCGTAAGTAGAACTCGCAAGTCTAAATTCGTGTTCTAGACCCTTTCAGACACCTCCACCCACTCTGTTGTAAATACGCCTTTGAATGTTGTCTCGAGAAAACGAAGGTTTTCCAAATCAAAAGTTAAGGAAGACAGAGTAGATTGAAACAAATTTTTTACTGGAAAAGGAGCTCTGTCACGCGCTGGCTCCCAGCTGTGTCTTTATGCCAGTTAGGAGTGTGTGCGCTATTGGAAAGTCTTGAATGCGGGATTTGCCCTTATGGCCAATCAAATGAAAAGGTGCATGCATCTATTGGCTTCGATCTTGCGCTCGTCTCAGGCGACGAGTCCATCGGGAGTATGATAAAGTACGAGAGCGCTCGCGGAAGGGTTATCACGTGTGAGGTCCCAATGGCTTGGCAAGCGAAGACAAGATGAGTCATCCCACCGGTACGCCTTATAGAAGAGGAGCTGAACCAATTTTTCGTCATTTGCTCAGTATGACATTCTTATTCGTCCGAAATGTTCGTTTTTTTGCCCTCGTCTTGGCTATAAACATATTGGTTATTGATTTCTGGACCCTATGCCATCACCTGCGATGCATGTAACATGAAGTCTATAGGCAAGACTGAACTCAGTTTCATTCCCAGTAGGCTGAAGCGGTTGACCTTGCAAAGTATACGTTCAAATGGCTGCACAAACGGGGACGAAGAAAATTTTCAGTCGAGCCGCGCGACTCGTGCGCATTCTAAAGCCGCGGGGATTACGAGACTCATCTATAGCTTCTATGGCAACATAGGAAGATGTTTAGGTCTAGGGATACCATGTTAACCTGCGCTGTAGTGGTGATAAGGATGCAGCTAAAAAGGAGATTAGCGCGTTGTCAAGGGAGAATCCAGGTACCGACCACGACTAAATGACCAAACAGATCAACAGAAAAAAGCAGCATGTTATGCTACTGCATAGCTGTGGCAAGTACCAGTACCCTCTTCGTGGAGGATGATTGCCTGTTGCTGCACTAATTGCTTGATTGCCGGTATGTGGGTCAGTATATGCCAAATTTTCATCTCTCGTATTGGAGATTGATGTAATGCTTGCTCCGCCACCTGACTCACCGGCATTGATGTTGAAAATGTGTTCGCCAGCGCGCTCCCCCAAATGGTTGATTGATTTGGCCAAACTATTTTGCAGCACTGAATGCGGGTAGAGGAGGCTGTTCCATTTGGGTAATAGACCGGGGGTCTGTAAAGCAAATCGCGGCTGACGCGATTCACACCTCTCGCGAAAACTCCGACGCCATCGAACTTTTATGTGACCGGATCTCACCGAATTAGTATTGGCGTCAATTCTGCGCAGTGCTGCCACATGTTTAGTAATTCGCCTCCAGAGTAGTCTTTCAGGTCCTCTGACGCAGTTGCGTTTTCCAAGCTCTACGAAGAGGGAGCTTCCGAGAGAAATAAGTATCGCAGTGGCTTATATTAATAGGTAAAACCCCTGCAGCTGCAACTTTCAGGCTCGGTTCAATATGAGAAGAGAAGAAATGGGACGCCAGTTGGCAATAATACAAAATTATTGGAGGAAGTTGACAGTCGGACGAGTGCATGGTGACGTGCGGAGAGCCGGCATCCGAAGTGTAAGAATGCGGGAGTCGTCGCAGTGCATTCAGTTAGGTTATGTGTAAGTGAGCCTCGATGAGATGATTGGCCAGATGGGATTAAGTTCGGTAAACAATGGAGCGCAAATGCAAGCAGTCGCGGGAGCGAGAGTTTTAACATTGCAATCGGAGTAGGGTCATCACAACTACCGTCAGAAAATTAAGCAAAAGGTTTTAAGACATAATGAAACAATAATGTCCCCCAATGACAAATAGTGTTACGGAGACGCAAGCGGCGATAAACTTCGACCCCACGGCCAGAATAGCACATCAGTAAAGTCATGCCGCAGGCCGGCCCGCACGCCTCGATCAAACATGACGCTCGCGCAGATGTGCAGTGCAGATGTTCTAGAAACGTCTCCCAGGGTCGCAGTGTCGGAAACCACAAATCAGCGTGCAGGCAAGCACCCCCCTCGCATGCTTTAGGCCAGGAGTATTCTAGAAAGACCAAAGCCTTACAAATAGACTGTAGTGGACGAAATAAAGCATCCGCTGTCTCTATTCTATGTTGGATAAAAGGCGCTTGTCATCAGAACCGGGCTTTGCCTTCTTCTTCCTATTAGTCGGGGATATAACAACTGGCGACGCACGTGGGATCCCGTTTTTCTCATATGGGACATAACATATAAA